CTACACCACGGATACCCTGGCTGGAAGGCTAAAATAACAACCGATTCGTCCGTTTGAAAGTGTGAATAAACTAAACAAATTGATAATGTTGGTAAGGGGGCAAAAATCCGAAGAAAAAAATAATGTAAATAAAAACCTAAATTAGATTAAAAAGCCTCGGATCAGGCTCGCAATTTCTGAAACAATTCCACGAATATCTCTATATGCAAAAACAGATGGATCGAGATGTATTAAATCGGATTATCGGTAAATTTCCCATAATTTGGCGATTCAAGTACCTCGACTTACACTCAAGAGAATGGTTCATGTTACCGAGGGCAAAGCACAGAGATACAGGAAAATGGATACCGGCACCTTGTAGAGCATGTTTAAATGGGTCATAAGCAACATAGGCACAACTGCTGTGGCCTCATGTCCACCGCGAAAAGACAAATACATCCACTGCAACACCACCACCCAGCGACTAAGTCCACAACGCCCTCACTGCCAGAGTTCTCAAAGTCGCGCTTTCTTTAAGCTGACACAAGGCGCTCATATAGGGGGAGATACAGGGGACTAAGCGTGCGCGGAGAGTTACTCGAGAACTGCATTTGCACGGACAGATTTCGACCGAATAATTTTTGCACGCTAAACTCTGCAGTCTGGGGAGGTTAGGTTTGGGTTTTTGGTTTGCCTGATACCAACAATGAATATCAATTACACGTACACAATAAATGCTAATGAATAAATACCGGTTAAATGATTTTTCAGAATGGCGGCTGGAAACGGATCGCAGCGATTCCTCTTCCTCTCTCGAGTCCAAATACGCAGAAATCTATGAGCGGAAATTCCCCCCAAATACTAGGCCCTGATAGCAGGGCAGGGCATGAGGGGCACCTGGGGCATTGAGGGTTAAAATACGAACAATGTCCTGGGAACAAGTCACTATATTGCCTGATGCAGGGTTTTGTGCCCCCTGCGAACCCTGAAGAGCAGCAGAGAACCCTCGGCATATTCAGGGCAGGAGAGTGTCATACTCAGCATCAGGCGCTCCCTCTTGCCGGTCATGTGCTCTATCCTGCCCTAAATACATGGACGATTCTTTGTCTGCCTTTATGGGTGGTTAGAGAGAGAGAGAGAGAGAGAGAGAGAGCACGAGAGAGGAGCGTCTAGTCACGACTTGTCACAGAGCGCAGTCAGCTCCATATCGATGAGCCACGATGCACCGCAGTCATCACTGATGATCTCTGTGGCGACTATGTGCTATCAATGTGTCACGCAACATCCTGAACGGAGAGAAGAGGAGAGCGTTGGAAGAGAGGGGGGAGAGGAGAGGAGGGGGGAAGAGAGGTGAGCGACGAGAGAGTGGACGAGATCGGCAGAGAGAGAGGAGAGGTGAAGACGACTGAGAGGGAGAGAGAGGATGGAGTCGAGAGACTACGTAGGAGAGAGGAGATGGAGAGAGGAGACGAGAGTAGGAGGGAAGAGACGGAGAAAGGGAGGAGGCAGCAGAGGAGAGTGAGAGAGAGAGAGAGAGGAGAGAGAGCCTGAGGGAAGAGTTGGAGTCGAGTGGGAGGGAACGCAGAGAGAAGACTGACTTGGATATTATTCAAACTCAGTCTCGCGACACAGCATCCTTCATTGTGGCAGACATATCGCGCCTGGGACGCTGTCGCATCAGGCGCTCACATTTACAGTCCGAGGAGCCTATGCGGGAACTGCTGCTCGCATTATCCTGGACATTGCCTCTACATCACTGAGAGAGAGGGAGGAGGGAGGGGTCAACATGACAGCCTAAGACTACCGCCCGATCGTCAATCATCCCTCTCCTCACACCCGTGCAGTCCAGAATCATTACACTAACTGCGCTCATGACCCTGACGAGCACCTCTAAAGCCGACCGGAAGACTCTGATCAAGCAGACTTCACCTGTCCGACCAGCATGACTATGCCTCACCCGATAACTTAACCGAAGACCTTGCCGACGCCTCGGCTGACTACTGTCCACAGTTCCGTATCCCACCACATCAGCGCACCAGCTGATCTCGACCATGTCGATGGAATACTCTACATCTTGAAGATTCTCTCTCAGTGATGCAGAGGGTAAGAGAGAGGCGAGAGGAGTGACCTCTGATGGGAGGATGAGGAGAGGAGCCGGGTTCTCGGAGAGACTGATCCATGTTCTTCGCCGAGAGAAGCACTCGATAATTACACTGACCGGCGCCCTACCCGGCTACGCCTGCCGCGCGAAGGATCGGAGAGAAGAGTGAGAGAGAGCGGGAGAGAGAGAAGAGAGATGGAGGAGAACGAACGAACGGTAGTGAGACTACTCCATTCAAGAGCAACGAATCCAGAAGAAAGGACGACAAGAATAGGCAAAAAGAGACGAAACATAATCAGAGAAGAAAGAACCCACTGACATGGATCGAACGTACTCAAGAAAGTCTCAGGAACGACAACCATCTCACAACACTCACTGCATCCATACTGTATCGCCATGCCATACTCGCGCACTCGTACGGGCGCCTACACCTCGCTTAACCTACTGACAGCCTCTCATCCTCCACATCCACTCTCGAGGGAGAGAAAGAAGAAAGAAAGAAAGAGAGAGAGGGAGAAAAGAAGAGAGAGAGGAGATAGGACGAGAGGAGAAAAGACTGAGAGTGAGAGATGAGAATAGAATGAGCATAGACGCTAGTGAAAGAGATATAGATAGCATAGATAGAGATGATGCAAGACGACCATGGAAAGATGCATCTACGAGTTGAAAGATCTCTGATCTCTTACAGACCTGTTCGCTCGCCGGAGAGAGAGAATGCGCCAGAGAGATCAGCGCGCAGCGCGTGCGACCAGAGAGTGAGAGGAGAGTGAGACGAGGAGAGAGATGGGAGATCGTTGCTCGCGCGCCGCCTTCACAGTAACGCTCCAGGCAGCCCGCCAGACAATCTCGGAACAGGCAACTCCTCTATAAGCTGACGTCCGACAGTCTTGCCGATTTCAGTCTCTGGTATCAGACGATCATGAACGGGACTCACCACGTTGATAGAGAGAGAGAGAGAGATGGAGGAGATGAGAGAAGGGAAAGAGAGAAGAAAAAGAGAGGAGAGAAGGAGAGAGAGAGAGAAAGAGAGAGAAGAGAGAGAAAGAGAGAGAAAGAAAGAGAGAGAAAGGAGAGAGAGAGAGTGAGAGAGAGAGAGAGAGAGAGAGAGAGAGAAGAGAGAGAAGAGAGAGAGAGAGAGAGAGAGAGAGAGAGGAGAGAGAGAGAGAGAGAGAGAGAGAGAGAGAGAAAGAGAGAGAAAGAGAGAGAAAGAGAGAGAGAGAAAGAGAGAGAAAGAGAGAGAGTGAGAGAGAGAGAGAGAGAGAGAGAGAGAGAGAGAGAGAGAGAGAGAGAGAGAGAGAGAGAGAGGAGAGAGAGAGAGAGAGAGAGAGAGAGAGAGAGAGAGAGAGATAGATAGATAGATAGATAGATAGATAGATAGATAGATAGAGAGAGAGAGAGAAAGTGATTGTGAAAGTGAAAGCAAGGGTTGGGGGCGGCAGAAGGAGCAGCCCCCTGCGGCGGACAAAACAGCGACTGATCCTGTGGAAATAATTCACGGTTTACCTCGCAATGCTCTCCCCTGCTTTCGGGGCCGAGGTTGTCGCCAGTGAGGGGGATTTCCGCCAGGTTCTAAGTTTCCTATCTTTGGAGACGAGAGTGAGAGGAATAATGATAATGATACCAAATAAGGATACCAAATGATAATGATACCAAATAAAGATACCAAATAAAGATACCAAATGATAATGATACCAAATGACTGATTCAAATTACTAGTAATTAAACAACGCAAAATGATTAACACCAAAATCGCCACAATCCGTTACGAGCCACAATTCTCAGAGAGAGAGAGAGAGAGAGAGAAAAAAAAACGTCAACAAACCCAATAATTCTAAAAAAAAATGCCAACAAACCCAATAATTCTCCAAAAATAAAAAATAAAAAACACTCGAGGAAACAGTTCTAATCAAAATGATAGACAAATAAACCGAAATAAATAAGAAAGACAAATAAATAGACAAACAAATAGACAAATAAACCGAAATAAATAAGAAAGACAAATAAATAGACAAATAAACCGAAGTAAATAAGAAAGACAAATAAACAGACAAATGAACCGAAATAAATAAAAAACAGACAAATAAACCGAAATAAATAAAAAACAGACAAATAAACCGAAATAAATAAAAAAGACAAATAAACAGACAAATGAACCGAAATAAATCAAAAACAGACAAATAAACCGAAATAAAAAACAGACAAATAAACCGAAATAAATAAAAAACAGACAAATAAACAGACAAATGAACCGAAATAAATGAAAAACAGACAAATAAACCGAAATAAATAAAAAACAGACAAATAAACCGAAATAAATAAAAAAAGCAAATGAACAGACAAATAAACCGAAATAAATAAAAAAGACAAATAATCAGACAAATGAACCGAAATAAATAAAAAACAGACAAATAAACCGAAATAAATAAAAAACAGACAAATAAACCGAAATAAATAAAAAAGACAAATAAAGACAAAGAACCGAAATAAATAAAAAACAGACAAATAAACCGAAATAAATAAAAAAGACAAATAAACAGACAAATAAACCGAAATAAATGAAAAACAGACAAATAAACCG